TTTGCCTTTTTTAATCTGTGTCTGTTTGGATTAAAACCTCTTCCTTCACTGAAGAAAAAGTCATCTTCATCAAGTTCTCCACCCCTGCTGCTTTTGTCCCCAGGGAGAACATTTAAAGGGTCAGAGTCTCCCTTGTTGGCAGCAAGAGAACTCCGGTCACTGCTTTTAGAGGACCCGGTGCTGCTGGCACTGGTACCAAACAGCTGTTCCATCAGATTGGCTTTTTTCTCTCTTCTTGTGGTTAAATCTGCACTGCCTTTACTACTAAGTTTCTCTATACTGTTTCTTTGGAAATCCAAAAGGCTACTTTTTTGGCTAAATGGACTGGACTTCCTTGTGTTTGCAAATGAAGGCACATAGCTGCCAAATGCAAGCTCATTTGGAGAGAGTGGGCTCCTGATACTTCCTGGAGTCTGACCATCTCCTTTTGCAGTTAAAACACTGATGTCTTGTAAATGATGCCCATTAAAGAATCTCTCTAAGGAGTCAGAGAACAGGTATTGTTTGGGGCTTCTCTTTGGGGAGTGCAGTTTAGATTCCAAATCAGGTAGCAACGGCAGAGGAGGACATTTTAGATTCTGAGACTCTTGTTCTCTGCTGATTTCCTTCAGGTTAGCAAGCAGCAGTTCTCTCTTCAGTCTGTCTTCTTCCTCTTCATCAATATTTTGAATTTGGTACATTTCCACTTGGTATCTTCCAGTTTCCAATGCTGGCTTTTCTTCTATCTCCAGCATAGATGCCTTTTCTTTTTGCTTTTTAGCAAGTTCTTCTCTTTCCCATTCTGTATGAAATCAAATTTTAAAACTGAAATTTATAACAGTCAATATTTTTAAACATAAAACCTCAACTCTCATCTTTTACAAAACAACAGGCTTTATTTAATTTGGGCATTATCAGTATATTGAAAATGGACACCATAAGGAGGGTGGTGGGATGGATGGGGAAGACTTATCTTAAACTTAAAAAATGGATATCATATCCTGAGACAGATACATCACTTACGTAATATTCTGACAGAAGATACATTAACCTAAATCTAATTAAGAGAAAGCTTAGATAAACTACAAATGAACATTCTATTTTTTAAAAAATGGGTCTGTATTCATCAGTACTATCAATCTCATGAAATATTTTTAAAAATGCTATGAAGGACAATACTGTGTCAGCTGATAAAACGAATGTAGACAGATTAGAGAAATGAGTTGTATCAAAGTAAAATTTACTGAGGTTGAAAACTATACTGGAATGAAATGATATTAAGAGACTGTCCTTATTTTGGAGAAAAACAGTTCTTTGGCTGTTGCTACTTTGCTATAATTTTGAAATGATTTCCAGGTAAACAAATTAAAAGTATTAACATATGTAAGAACGGCAAACATTCTTACTGATGTAAGAAATCATTCCATAGGAACTCTAGGAAAAATATAAGTCAAAAAGGACAAAGAAAAGTGACAGTCTGTTACTTTATTCCTTTTCCTGGTACCTAGAAAGGAATGAACAGAACACCTAATTGTCTATTCTATAGTTTAACATGTGAAAGCATAATCCTTTCTGGATTAGCCAATAGTGATGTAAAAATAGCTTCTATTCAACTGTTACATTGTTTTAAATCCATACACTAATTTAAGTAACAATTACCAGTACTCACAATTTTATGTTCCATTAACTTTAAGAGGGGAAAAAAGGATTTCTCTGTAAGCGGCTACTACATAATAAAATACAATCAAAGGATTAGCCTCATCTACACCTTTAAGACCTTTTATCCAGAGGGAAATTAATTTTATTCCTGAGCTTCATGTATAGTATCTGAAATCATGTGGGTTGGTTCACTAAACTTCCACACCAATGGTTGAACATGTTAAAGATTAACTTATTAAAATCAATGAAAAATTATAGGAATATATTCAGGACCTCACAATTCATTAATTTTAATGCTTGGGCTAGTCTACACAATAGTTTCAAGGTCAAGACAATAAAGCAGCTGTACTTCAGTCATATGTTAATCAAACTTTAATTAATATACAAGTAAATTTTTTCCCTTCGCCTGAATTTTTGAAGGTAACTTTGTCATTATTCCCTACCACTGTATCAATCTTTTTTTGTTCTGTATATCCAACTCACTCTTCAGCTGGAAGACGTTAGGGGATGTTAACCCTTTCCCAAGGGATGCTGACTCATCACTTGCTTAAACAAACTCACCATCCTCCAGCTTCTCAACCTCTTGTTTTACAAAATGGCTTCTTTGATCTTTAACAAAATTTTCTTCTCTTTCCTCAACTGGGTTTAGAATCCCTGCTTCTTCATGCTCATCTTTCTCTTGAGATTTCAGGTCCTATTACACATTGTTTAAAAAAAAAAAGGAGAGGCTACTTAAATATTGTAGATTTATCTCCCATTAAGCGTAATACCAACTGAGAAATTAAAGCAAGTTTTTCAGTAAGTCAGAAGTAATATCCTTTGAAAGATGCTGCAAAAGCACACAGGTTTATTTCTTACTTTAAAGAAGCATTTATAAGCTATATCAAAACCAATCCTATATAATAAAAGGCTAATATGCAAATTGTCCCCTCGGGAGTTTGACTAACTGGGACTTCAACCACTCGCTATGACGTGTGCTGACCACCAGGGGGCGGCGCGGAATGAAGGTCCCCATTGGCCCCGATCGCCGGCCAGGCCTAGGGACCCTACCCATGCACAAATTTCATGCACCGAGCCTCTAGCACAGTGGTTCTCAACCTTCTGGCCCTTTAAATACAGTTTCTCATGTTGTGACCCAACCATAAAATTATTTTCGTTGCTACTTCATAACTGTAATGTTGCTGTTATGAATCGTAATGTAAACATCTGATATGCAGGATGGTCTTAGGCGACTCCTGTGAAAGGGTCGTTCGACCGCCAAAGGGGTTGCGACCCACAGGTTGAGAACCGCTGCTCTAGTATACTATAAGTCAATAGCCTACATAAAATTCTGAAGAAACAAGTTTCAGAAATATCCTTGCTTTGTACATTTCACAACAAAATCTGATTAATTCAGTTAACCAGAAAAGCTATTAACTAAATATAAAGGCCATCAGAGATGGTGCTGAATTATAACACAGGCAGAGACAATTACTGACTCAAGTTTATGTTAGGATTTGAGTCTCACCTATACTTTTAGGCCCAAAGCCTTCAGTTAATAAATTTGTAATATTTAAATCAAATAAAAATATCAACTTAAATTCCTAGTTTCTGATGCCCCTTTCAGATGTGTAATTTTTCTTAAGAGTAAAATGTCTATTAATATTTTTAGTAGACTTGTATTAGTTGAGTACTGTCCCCTAGTATCCATCTTCCCCTCCTCCCTTTTAGTTACAAAATACTTGAGTTTTAGCAGAGAACAGGGTTGCTTAACTGGAGACTACACTGAGTAGCCTCCCTTGCAGCTAGACAGGACCAATAAGGTAGGAGTGGAAGTACTATGTATACAACTTCTGATCACATGTATAAAAGCAAAAGCTGCTTGCCCTTTACTTCCTTATTCCTCCTTCTCATAGGGGTGGTGAGCCATTTTCAAGCATAGAGAAAAGAACTACACTCTTTAAGATGGAAGAGCAGTAAGACAAAGAATGAAATAAAGCTGTCTACCTACTCTGGACCACTCATTGACCTTCAGTCTATTACAAGAAAAAGAAACTTGTATTTTGTCTGAGCCATTGTATTCTGAGTCTCTTTCTAAAAGCAACTTGGCCTGTACTTTAACTTCCTTCCATTTGCTGAGGCCCTTTAAAAGTGTTAGGATCAGTCTTAAAGAGCTTCATAAACTTCATTATTAGTTATTACAACAACCCTAAAAGGTAACACACCCCCATTGTATAAATTAGGAAATTGAAACTCCAAGAAGCCATACAACTCAAATGTCAGAACCAGAATTTAACTAAAAAGCAGTGTTAATTCCAAGGCTATCCTCTTTTCACTATATCAAGTTGCTGTTCCTGCTACTCAATCTTCTAAACACCAAATATTTTTATTCTCTTAAATTTAAGTTAAGAATTATGGTTTGGCTCAGCGGATAGACTAGAGCGTTGGCCTGCAGACTAAAGGGTCCTGGGTTTGATTCCAGTCAAGAGCACATGCCCAGGTTGTGGGCTCGATCCCCAGTAGGGGGCATGCAGGAGGCAGCCAATCAGAGATTCTCTCTCATTGATGTTTCTATCTCTCTCTCCCTTCCTCTCTGAAATCAATAAAAATGTTTAAAAAAGAATTACTTTGTTATTCCATATTTTACCCTTTTGAAAAGAAAAATTAACATGATGTCTAGTCTCAATGATAGAGCTAACTTGTCTAAACTGTAAAACAAAATAAAAAACTAGAGTATTCATAGGAACAAAGTTCATCCTTTCAAGAAGAGATCTCAGGGTCACGGGAAAACTTACAAAAGGCCCAAAAATAAAGGATTATGTAAAATACGATGGCTCTCTGCTACATGTTTCCTTTGGATTTCAAACTAAAGAGAAAAACCTCTTAGAGAAAAGTACCTTCTGGTATTCAGAATGTTAAGGCCTATGAAATGAAGGTCCAACACAGACCCACGGAATGTCACTCTAATTTGAATGGTATAAAGTCAGATTCATGGCAATTACTTTGCTCAGTTTTCATCTAACTTCCAACATTCTATTACATAGAAGGCTCCCCAAATTAAATGCAGCCAAATTCTAATAAATCATTTGAAAGCTACTATACTTTGCTTTTAAACATAAAAACAAGGATTTTGAGGGACTATTTTGGTACACACAAGGTAAGACACTTGGTAAATTTTTCTTCCCTTCTACTTCCAACCCAGATGGTACAATCAACCTTTCTGAAGCATCTGAAAGATGCAATGTGAACTAAGAGTCAATCCACAGCAATTTAATAAAATATACATGTATATGTTATGTCTCTTTGAAAGGCGAGTTGCATATTTACAGATGTAGCATTAGTGTCACTGCTGAAATTTAAAAATGTTTGATTTTGTGTTGTAGGAATAACTTCAAACCCTGAATTGGGTATCCAATCATACTGCTGAACTCACCAAAGGAAGAAGTTCGGGTTCCCATTTGTTTTCATAACACATAACTGTTTGTGGAACAATAGGAGAGTCTTCCAGCGTGAAGTCTTCACTGGTTTGCACACCTTTTGTACACTGGTATGTAAAATCACTCTGGCATGCAGCTTGAAACACCATGAAAATTATAAAAGTTTTTCTAATTGTATTAAACAGTGCTAAGATATATGGAATTCAGCTCGGATGTATATTTACCATCTAAATGAGATAATGCATATTTTGCTCAGCTCCAAGACTACTCACATTAATATTTTTTTTTTTCTAGGATTTACTGGCAATTACATAACTTGAGAACAATTCTGACAGGTAAATCCTATTAAAGCATTTTCAAAATTTATGTTTTTAACTTTTTGTAATTTACAGAAGAGGGAAATTATACCTTTATTTTTAAAAAAGATAAATGTATTTGCATAACAATAACAAAATATTTAGGAATGAAATGACTGCTTTAAAATACTTTGGGGAAAAGTAATACAATTAGTAAAATGTATAACTGTTAAAGTTAGGTGATATGTAAATAAAGGTTCATTATACTATAATATCGAATTAGTAAAACGTACAGCTGTTAACATGAGGTGATACGTAAATAAAGGTTCATTACATTATAATATCTAGTTTGGGGTATGCTTATAAAGAAAATTTTTTATAAGTTATGTAAAATATAACTTGTGAACTCAGAAAAACTTGATAAAGTTGAAAGAATTTCTGAAAACTATTTAGTACTAAACTAGTCAGTAGTTGAAAGGAAACTTAAATTTTATTTCAATGAAGTTCTTTCCCCTTTGCCTTCCTTCTATTTCAGAATTTATTAGTAATAGCTACTATACCATTTTTTCTTGATATTTGTTCTCTTTCTTTCTTTAGAGAAGACTTTGGTAGACGATTAGAATATATGTTTTTTATATCCAGTTCTCTCTCCTTTTCCTGAAAACAAACCCAATAAGTTTAAGGACATATATTCTCAGTTTAAAACAAAAATCCTCATGTTGTCAATTGGTACTTTACTTACCAATTGGAATATCTAGTTCAGCTTCCCTTTATAACTACCTAACTATAGGAAGGAATGTCTCTAGGACCTTCAGGTTAGGGTAGAGCAATGATTCTCCCTACAAAATCCAGTATGTCATAGCAGTTAAAAAAATGAGAGAAAATAAGGCAAAATTAATTTTCTACCCATTCCTATCTGATAGAGCTAGTATTGTCCTACCTAAACTATCTTCCAGGCTCAGCAACAGAGACAAGGAATTTAATTAGTGTCTCTCAAATGTGAGTTATAAATTACTAAGTTAAAAATTAGATCTTTTTGTTAAAAAAAAAAAAAGTATTCTTGTTCATTTTGGGACTATAGCCTTCTCTGATAATTTGATTAAAAGGGTAAAAATTCTATGCAAGGTAATGTCTAAACACTAAATTTTGCACATTTCAACCCATCAATGAGCTCAGGAGAGAATGGAAAGAATACCTGTTTTAACAAAGTAACTAATTCAAATATTTCCTCTAAAAACTATGAAAATGAAAGGGCATTACTTAAAATAACTTTAAAAATAATTAAGCATGGGGTTAGCTGAGGAAGAACACTGAATTATTCAACCATGTGACAGAAAAACTCTAGTTTCCATAATTTTCTTCCAGGATTTTATAACTTAAATAACTTATGTCAAAAAAATGAAACATTGAATACAGTAATGATATATGTTTTTATTGATTTCAGAGAGAGAGACAAAAACATAAATGATGAGGGTTGGCTGCCTCCTGCATCCGGGGGCATGTGTCCCAACCAGGGATCGAACCAAGACCTCCTAGTTCATGGGTCAAGCTCAACCACTGAGCCACGGTGGCTGGACAACAAACCTTGTCTCTATAAGTGCTGAAGATGATATTGGAATTTTGTAAATTATACTGTATCACTGTATAAAATATTAAGTTTTCATCTAATAAATATTATAAGTTGAATATAATGATTTAAAATAAAATGCTTACCTTTAACTTATGATGCAGTTGTTGTAGCTCCTTTTGAAGAACTTTATTTTCATCATGAGCATCATATGCCCTTTTCTTTTCAGCAAGCAGCTGTCGTTGGAAACTGTTACTACTCAGTTCAAGGTTTTTTGATAGTTCCTATGATATGTGTACACATTTTAAAAAGTGTTTAAAAATAATTCAACAATAAAACAATGCACTTAGCATCAAAGTGATTTTTTTTAGCAGTACTGAACAAGACATGGAAACCAAGCTGAGATTAGTGTTCATAAACAAAATTAGCTATAAAATAGACTGACCAACAATTTAATACTTAGCTATTATTCCTTCCTTTGTTTTTCACAATGATTTATAAATAATTTCTTAAGCATCTGTCTGAAGCGTACATGAAAAGTGATTTAAGTTGGGAGCAAAAGAAAGTTTAAAGGATGTGATGAGAATCATTGGCCAAACAGATAAGAAGACAACTGTAAATACACAGCACTATTCAAGGTACAGAGATTACCTTGCAAAATATTTTAAATAAAAACAATGGGCAGTTCCATGGTCTTCAACATGTTTCATGAAGTTTATGAAAGAATTTATGTTAAAACATTTTCTTTTAGGTAATGTTAGCATCATGGTGGCTTGAGTCATTCCTTTTTTCTCTCCCTTTGGACTTACAACTAGTCATCCATCCATAATGGAACAAAAGTGCTTCTCTGCCCAGCACACCAGGAAACTCAAGAGATCCATCCATCTGTACACCCAAAAGCGGGTGGACTGGGTCTCAGAGAAGGCTGCAGAGCCAGGAGAGGGGCAGCAGAGGTAGGCCAGCATAACCTTTCTGGCAGAGGCAGTGAAGGTAGTGAATGGAAAGGTCTGCCCTGCTGTGCATGCTGCAACTGGAAAAACCCGTTGCTCCCTCTAAGAAGAGACCAGACTCACTAGGTGGATGAAAAGGAAAGGGAAGAAGGCAGACAAAGAGAGTTGAAGGAGTATGTTTCCTCCTGTAGGCAACAGGATACTGGCTCCTAATTAAGAACCTATTGAACTGTTAGAATCAAAGTGAACAAGGGTGTTCACTATGTCAAATGCAGCAGCAGAGGGACTTTTCATCAAACAATGAAAAATTATGATAATATCACAAAAAGAAAATGACAATATTCTAGTGACCAAAAAATGGAATATTGTGATATCACTGATAAAGAATTCAAAATGATTGTTATGAAGAAAATCCAACAAACTGTAAGACTCAGTGAGGCAATACAATGACTTTGGGAAAAAACAGATGAAAGAAGTACTTTACCAAAGATACTGAAATTCTAAAAGAACCAAAAATTCTGGAGCTAGAGAATTCAATAAGAGTTATGAATGCATTACAAAGCACTAGAAATAGAGCAAATCAGATGGGAGAGAGAACTAAGGTTTTTTAAAAATGAAGAAACCCTGTAAGAACTGTTAGACTGCATTAAAAGAGCCACCACAAAATTAATGGGTGAACCAAAAGAAGAAGAGGAAAAAGGGAGCAGAGACTTATTTAAAGACATAATAGCTGAGAAATTCCCAAACCTGAGACAGGAACTGCACATTCAAGTCCATGAAGCTAATATGACACCATATTATCTCAACACAAAAAGACCTTCTCTAAGTCACATTATATTAAAACTGTCAAAAGTTAATGACAGAGTATTTTAAAGGCAACGGAGGAAGGCGGGAGTTCTCAGTAACCTACAAGAGAATGCACATTAGGCTATCAGTCAATTGCTAGCAGAAATGCTACAGGCCAAGAGAATGAAAAGACATATTCAAGAGACTGAAAGACTAAAATTGCCAGCCAAGAATACTCCATCTAGCAAAGTTACCCTTCAGATATGCAGGAGAAATAAGGCTTTGGCAAACAAAGGAGCTCTTCAAGTTGAAATGAAAAAATAAAAAATAAAAAAAAACCACACACACACACACGAAAGTACACAAAACTCTGATTAAGGTAATAGAATTAGAAAACTATAACTTTTTAAAAATAGTACACTAAACAATTATAGCATAAAGTTTAACTACAGCTACTACAACTTGGTAACAAAATCACAGCATAAAAAGATAATTTGTGACATAAAAAATATAAGAGGGGAGGATAAAAAGATGAAACATAAGTGAATAAAAACAAATTGCTATCAGCAGAAAAGGACTATTTTACCTTTGGGATGTTTTATGTAAACCTCATTGTAACCACAAAGCAAATACCTAAACCAGAGATATGTAACATAAAAAAAGGGGGGAGACTGAGCAACTCACCATAGAAAACCACCAAACTTACAAAGGTAGACAGAATCAGATGAAAAGACAAAATAACCAGAAAGCAAAAGGTAAAATGGTGATAGTAAATCCTTACATATCAATAATCAATTTAAATATAAATGTATTGAATTTATCCATCAAAAAGTATAGAGTGTGTGGATAAGTAAAAAACAAGACCCTATTATATGGTGCCAACAGGAGACTTATTTTAGCTCTGAAAACACATACAGACTCAAGTGAAAGGATGGCATATGATATTCCAAGCAAACGGAAATCAAAAGACGGCAGCTATCCTTATATTAGACAAAACAGATGTCAAGCCAAAAGGGTAACATGAGGCAAAGAAGATCATTATATAATGATAAAGGAGTCAATACATCAAGAAGATGTATCAATCAATCATAAATATTATATGTTCCAAATGCCCAAGTATTGAAATATATTAAGCAAATAATAATGAATTTTAACAGAGAAAAAGACAATACAGTAATACTAGGGGACTTTAATACCCTACTATCAGCAATAAATAGATTGACCAGGCAGAAAATCAGTAAGTAAATGTTGGCATTAAACCACATTTTAGAACAACTGAACTTAAGAGATATAACAGAAGATGCCATTCAACAGCAACAGAATACACATCCTCAAGTGCACATAAAACATCCTCCAGGAAAGATCATATAATTGAACAAAACAAATCCAAGCATATTTAAGACTGAAATCATACCAACTATATTTTCTAGCCAAAATGGCAAGAAACTGATTTCAAAATAAAAAAATGAGAGGATCTACAAATCTAAGTGGAAACTAAACAATACACTTTTAAACAACTATTGAGTCAAAGAAAAAAAGGGAAGTAAAAAATTATCTCAAAAAAAATTTATCTTTTAAACAAATACAAATGGAAATACAAGCCAAATCTTATGGTATGCAATAAAAGCAGCTCTGAAAGAAAACTTTATAGCAATAAATGCATACATTAAGAATTTAGAAAGACCTTAAATAAGCAACCTAACTTTACGCCTCAATGGACTAGACAAAAAACAAATTAATCCCAAAGTAGCACAAAGAAGGAAAAAATAAAGATCTGGGAAATGTAGCAGAAACAAATGGAGGAAACCAAAATAACATGTCCCAAATGAAAGAATAGGACACAAGTCCACAAAAAGAACTAAACAAAAAGGAGAAAAGCAATACAGAGTTCAAAACACTGGTTACAAGGATACTCAATTAACTTAGGGAAAGAATAGATGAACTTAGAACCTCAACAAAGGGATAAAAACCATTAAAGAACCAGTCAAAAATGAAGAATACAGTAACAGAAATGAGAATATATTGGGGAAGGGAAACAACAACAGATTAGATGAAGCAGAGGACTGAATCAGCTAACTGTAACATGGTAGCAGAAAGCACACAATCAGAAGCAAAAAGAAATAATAATTGGAAAAAATAATGAAGATAGTTTAAGGAAACTGGGACATAAAGCATACCAACATTTGCATTACAAGGGTACCAGAAAGACAAGAGAGAGAGCAAGGGATTGAAAACTTATTTGAAGAAATAATGCCCAAAATTTCCCTAACCTGGCTAAGAAAATAGACATACAAGTCCAAGAAGTTCAAAAAGGCCCACATGAAACATATAAGTAAAATGCCAAAGCAAGAATATTAAAAGTAGCAAGAGAAAAACAGTTATTTACATAAAAGAGAACTCCCCTAAGACTATCAGCAGATTTTTCAGCACAAACTGCGGATGAGAAGGTATTGGCAGAACCAAGATTACCGTACTAGCAAGGCTATGATTTAGAATAGAAAGGGAGATAAAGAGTTTTCCAGACAAGAAAAGGATAAAGGAGTCTGTCACCACTAAACCAGTATTACAAGAACTGTTTAAGGAACTTCTTTAAGTACTTATGAAAGATACAAAATATGAATAATATAGGAAAAAATTTCTCACTGAAAAAGACACTTTGTAACCAGTAGATTAACCAACTACAAAGCTAATACAAAGGTTAAGAGGCAAAGTGGGAAGATCATGTGTAATGAGAACAAATTAAGGGACACACACAAAAGAAGTAAAAAAATAGTAACAAACACATAAATGGAGAGGAGGTGAATAAAACATATAGTGATTTCAACTGAAAATAGACAGAAATAAACATAGCTTGGTATATATGAAGCACATAGAGAAGGAATCCAAACACAACAGAACAGAAAGTCATCAACATACTAGAGAATAAGAAAGGAAGAACTACAAAAACGATCAGAATGAACAAAATGGCAAAAGTACATATCTATCACAAATTACTTTAAATGTAAATGGATTAAATGTTCCAACCAAAAGGCACAGGGTAGTTAAATGGATCAAAAAACAAGACCCATACTTATACTGCCTACTAGAGACCCACTTCAGATTGCAAGACACACCAAGACTGAAAATAAAGGATTGAAATAGTTATTTCATACAAATGAAAGTGAAAAAAGCTGGGGTAGCTATACTTGTATTAAGCAAAATAGACTTTAAGACATGGGCTGTTCAAACAGAGAAAGAAGGGCATTTCATAATGATAAAGGGGCCATTTCAACAAGAGGATATAACTCTTGTAAACATCTACACACCCAACGTAGGAGCACCTAAATACAGGATGTCCCAAAAAAATGTATACACACTTAGAATAATTATTAATTTCAGTGGGTTAAGTCTGAAAAGAAACATCAACTGCACTAT